CAGGCCGCGACGACCACGACCGGCCCTGCGAAGGTGCCCAGCTGGCGCGCTCAGGGCGCGGAGACGCCGGCGGAGCGGACGGTCGCACCGAGGACCATCTTGGCGATCTGCGCGGCATACTCCGGGGACACATTCTCGATCGTGTCGGTGCTGCGGTGGTAGTGCGGGTACCGCTCGTCATCGCCATTGATGGTTAGGACCGCCGGGATGCCCCCCTGTAGGAAGCTCATGTGGTCCGAGCCGAAGGGGTGGTTGCTGTGGACTACGTACAGCTCCTGGCCGTTGTACTCTTGGCTCGCGTGCGCCATGTGGTCCATGAGCTCGGGGAGGCCCGTCTCCTTGGCCCAGTCGTAGGACTCCAGGTTGACGGTGGCCTTCGACAGCGCGGGGCTCTTCCAGCCGACCTCGTCGAGGACAATGGCCCTGTGGTCCGCCTTCCTGCGCCGGAACCTGCCGCGCTCCAGGAAGCTGCCGGACCGGGTCCTGCACTCCGACGGCAGCCTGCCTCCTCCGGCCGCCATCTCCTTCGCGAAGGCGGCTGAACCCTTGAGGCCGGGCTCCTCTGCCGCAAAGCCTACGAAGTACACATTTTTCTCGGGCTTCACGCCGGCCATCGTGAACGCGCGCGCGACCGCCAGCAGGGCGGCGACGCCGCTGCCGTTGTCCTCTGCGCCCGGGGCCTTGCCGTCGAAGGGGCGGGAGTCGTAGTGGGCACCGACGACGACCGCGTCCGAGCCCTTGCCCTCCACGCGGGTGACCACGTTGGCCAGGTGCGTGCCTAGGCCCTCGAAGCTGTGAAGGCAGGGGGTCATGCCCATCTTAACGAACTCCTGCTTCAGGAACTCCTGCGCGGCCTTCGAGGCGGAGGGGTTCTTGTAGCTGCGCGTGGGCAGCCCAGAGGACCCGAGCGACGTGAGGTTCTCGAGGAAGCTCTGGAAGACCTCCTTGGTGACGAGCTCCACCGCTTCCCTCTCCTTCGCCTGCCCGTTGGCCGTCAGCGGGCTCTTGTAGCCGGAGGTGACTTTGTACTCCGGGAATCCGCTGCTGACCCTGACGCCGTTCGTCAGCTGCACCAGGGCGCTCATGGACTCCCGCCGGTCGCCACTGGTCGGGACGCTCTGCTGGAGCAGGGACGGGCCGCCGGGGAGGTGGAAGATGTGCCACCTGCCGTCGCCACCCACGCGGCTCTGCTCGAGCTCCTCCGTGAGCGCCGAGCGGGCCCCCAGCGCGTAGAAGTAGTCGCCCACGTTGCGGCTCAGCTCCGCGCCCTCGGGTGGCGCGTAGTAGGTCTTGTCGCCGACGCTGGCGCGCCAGCCGGCCTCCTGCAGCAGGGAGGCGCTGGAGCCCGCCGGGCTCTCGTCTTTGGTGTACGCCCATGGCAGCTGGGCTTGCCGCGGCACCCGAGCTCGCACGTCGGCGCACCGCACGGGCAGCACGTATATGGAGGCTGCAGCCAGCCCCAGCCCCGTCCACAACTGCATCGCCAGGCAGGTATGTACGTAAAGCTACTGTCGGCCGCTGCAGGTAGGCCTGCCGAGGCCCAGACACTGACTGTCCCTGGGGCACCCAGCCGACGCCACGAAGAGTAATCGGGCGCGCTCGGGCTTGAGCCCGAAAGGCGCGTCATGTGGAACTGGGGGACACACGCCCCAGACATGCGACGCCCTGATCTTTTCAACGCGCGGCCCCCGGAACTCCCGACCCTGCCCCCGGGACCGGCTCTTCATCCTGAGTCGTTTTTTGAAGGTCCCGAGGCCCGGCGAGGTCCTCCCGAGGCCGAAGATGGCTAAAAACCCACGACGCGATTTTTTTTACGACGCGAGAAAAGACACACAGGCGAAACATGGCCTAATCGCCTCACAGAGTCGCGACAAGGGCCGAATGCTTGCCGTCCTGTTTTTTTCACGACGTGCTTCTGCCTGGGGCGGCGGTGGCAGGCACACGCAGGGCGGCCGTGGCCCGCAGGGGTGCTCCGCGGCGGCGCCTCCCCTCGAGGGCGCGCAGGGCCCGCCCCCCCCGCAGGCGGCCTCTCGCCGCGGTCGGGCCGCGCCCGCCCTCGCAGCCGCCAGCAGCCCACGGGACAACGGCGGCGGCGACGACGACGACGTCGACGACGACGACGGCGAGGACGGCGCGACGACGACGCCGACAAAGACGACGACGACGACGGCGACGACGGTGGCGGCGACCACGACGACGACGACGAAGACGACGACGACGCCGACGACGACGGCGAGGATGGACGACTGAGACGACGACAAAGACAACGGACATGGACAAAGGAGGACCGGGACGACGACGACGACGATGGCGGCGACGATCACGACTTCGACGACGGAGACGATGGACGACTGAGACGACGACAATGACGACGGACGTCGACGAAGGACAACTGGGACGACACGACGATGGCGGCGACGATCACGACGACGACGGCAAAGACGATGGACGACTGAGACGACGACAATGACGACGACAGTCGACGAAAGGCGACTGGGATGACGACGACGACGATGGCGGCGACGACGACGACGACGACGACGACGACGACGACGACGACGACGATGGACGACTCCGACGACTGAGACGACGACAAAGACGACTGACGACGACGAAGGGCAACTGGGACGACGACGACGATGACGACGTTGGCGGCGACGACGACGACGGAGATGGACGACTGAGACGACGATAAATACGACTGGGACGACGACGGACGACTGGAACGACGACGATGACGACGGACGATGGCCGCGCCGACGACGACGACGATACACGACTGAGACGACGACAAGGACGACGAACGACGACGACGACGACGAAGGACGACGACGACGGCGACGACGACCGCGACGACGACGACGCTGACGACTGAGACGACGACATAGACGACGTCGACGACGAAGGACGACGAAAACGAAGATGATGACGCGACAAAGAAAACGACGATGGACGACTGCGCCGACGACAAAGACGACGTCGACGTCAACGGACGACTGGGACGACGACAACCGAGACGACGAATGACGACGGCAACGACGACGACGATGAACGACTTCGACGACGACAGAGACGACGTCGACGACGAAGGACGACTGAGACGATGACGACGAAGATCATGATGACGACGATGGAGAAATAACCATGGACGACTGAGACGACGACAGAGACGACATCGACGATGAAGAAGGACTGCGACTACGACGACGTAGAAGATGATGACGACACCGAAGACAACGACGATGGCTGACCGAGACGACGACAGAGACGACGTCGACGACGAAGGACAACTGGGACAACGACAACCGAGACGACATATGAAGACGACGACGACGACGGCAGACGACGGACGAGCGACGACGGTCGACTAGGACGAGGACGGCGAAGACCATGACGACGACAACGACGACGGACGACGGACAACGACGACAACGACGGACGGCGATGGCGACGGACGTGGACGAAAGCGACGATGACGAGGCAGAGGAGAAAAACAGGAAAAGGCTCGGAAGACCCCGACCGACGGCACAGTACCTGGCAGCCAATCTAGACCTCTGGGAGGAACAGGGCGACGACACGACGACGACAAAGACGACGGACGACGAAGACGACGACGACGGACCAAAACCCTGGTCATCCCTTCATCATGGGTCGGCTTCTGACGGCCTCTGGCCCCGAAGCACGCCCCCTCCCCCTGGAGGCTGGGATTGCAAAGAGGCGGCGGCCAGGATCCGTTCCGAAGCCGCTGCGACAACTGGAGGAATACAGAGGTACTCATACAGGGCGCCAGAACCTGTGAACATGTCTACTGCTCCCTGGCCAGGCCCGTCCTGAACACGGCAGCGGTATAGATTTGCCACGCCCTCTTGGCTTGGCCAGGAGCGCGTATACACAGCTGCTGGGCCCAGGAAGGGCCCAGTCAGGGGGCAATGGATACTCCGAGTTTCTGAAAAAAGCGTCGGGGGGGCGTCACCCCCGCCGACAGCCCCACATCGACCCCCTTCGCGGGCAGCCACCGCGCGCCGAAGGCGCTCCGACCACCGTCGCGGCGTGACGACGAGGCGAGGCTGACCCCCGTCGGTGGGGTCCCCCCCACGCTTATTAAGAAGCCCAGAGTATGTATAGATTTCGTCGCCAGACCATACCGCTCCTCCACGGGCCCTCCTGGGGTGCCTTCTGGCCAGAAGCCCTCCGGAAGAACCCAGCCCTGCGCCACGAGGGCACTCTCGAGGACAGAGCAGCGATACTGGTGTATTCTCTTCTCCTCCTCCTCCTCCTCCTCCTCTCTCCTTCCTCCTCCTCCCCTCCTCCTCCTCCTCCTCCTCCTCCTCCTCCCTCCTCCTCCTCCCCCTCCTCCTCCTCCCTCCTCCTCCTCCTCCTCCTCCTCCTCCTCCCTCCTCCTCATCCTCCTCTCCTCCTCCTCCTCCTCCTCCTCCTCCTCCTCCTCCTCCTCCTCCTCCTCCCTCCTCCTCCTCCTCCTCCTCCTCCTCCTCCTCCTCCTCCTCCTCCTCCTACTCCTCCTCCTCCTCCTCCCCTCCTCCTCCTCCTCCTCCTCCTCCTCCTCCTCCTCCTCCTCTCTTCTGAGAACACAGGTAACCGACACCATGATCTGGCCAGGGCGCGGCCCTGGCTATCCCTGCCGAGCCGCTGCTTCTCACGGCCCCCAGAGGCCTCGCACGGGCACCGCGGAGGCCGAGAATGCCCAAACACGCGGCCTCTGGCGTTGGGTCGGGCGTGTCCTCCTACGGGCGGGTTTTGGGAGGAAGAACAAGTGGCACGCGTGCCCTGGCCCTTGCACGACGGGGCTGCGAGGGACAGGAGGCTTCCGCTTCCTTCCTCCAAGAGTCTCCTTCTGTGGACGGGGAGGGGGAGGACGAACGACGAACGAACGAACGACGACGAAAATAAAGAGGTCCGAGCTCTTGAACACAGCTGCGCAAGAGAATACACAAAAGTCAAACATACCACCCAAAATAATCCAGAAGAGTCGAAGAATCGCCCACACACTACTTTGCTTGATTCTTTTTGAAGACGACTCCTGTAGAGGGAAATGCCCGGCTTCACCCTGGCGTTCGTTCACGACGCGAGGGTGTCGAGGAAGCGAGGGCGACGACGCCAGCCAGCGAGGTGCCTGGCAGACGCGACTCTTGCTGCCGAGTTGTTGCTTGACGGCCCCCAGAGGCCTGGCGTGGGCCCCGCGAGGCACATGATACCAAAACGCGCGGGCCCTGTCGTTCTTTCGCGACGCGAGGGCAGAGCATGCTGCTGCTGCTTCGCGTGGGTTCGATGCCAAGGAATGGAAGATAAACTGGATCCGACAGTGGATCAGCCCTGTGAACTGACGTAGACTAGAAGAAGAAAAAACTGCATTAACATAAACTGTTGGCGGTCCGCGCGGATTTCTTGGATCTGCGTTGGACCCCCCTCCCTTGCGCGCGGAGCGCGCCAGGGGCGGCGCCGAAGCGCCGCCTGGGGGGGGCCCAGCGAGGACCCAAGAAATCCGCCCGGAGCGCCAAAAGTTTACCTCCATGGCGTTTTTACTTCTTCGAATAGAATCCTACGCGCGACCCCCAGAGGTCCGGACCCCTCGTTCTGTGGCGGCCCCGAGGCCCGGCGAGGGCCCCCAGGGGCCGAACATGGCGAAAAACCTGCCGTCGTGATTTTTGTCACGCCTCGTCGAGGTGGGCCTGGGCAGGAAGCGAGGACGACGACGCCGGCCAGCGAGGCGCCTGGCAGACGCGGCTCATCTCCTGCCGCAGGCCCCGCACCGCCACGGGCCGGGCCCCGTCCCGCACGAAGGCGTCGTCGCCCTGCCGGCCGCGGCCCAGGGGCTCGCCGCCGCGGGGGGGGGGGGGCGCTCGAGAGGCGGAGATCCAACGCGTTGAAAAAAAAAGCAGCACTGAGGTGGTTTCGCGACGCTTTCGGTCTCCAGGGGCCCTCGCTGGGCCCACGGGCCGTCCAAACACGACTCAGCCCTGGAAGGCGCATCTGAAAATCTATGTTGGTTACTCCTTTCTCCGGCGGCAGCTGCGTTCGCAAGGACCGGATGTTATCCAACATTCTTCCCTGAATCATAGGTGTGTGACAGCGTCTTCATGCAGAAGAAGTAAATACAAATAGATATGTTTCAAAAACGAATGCGTTGAGATACGATTTTTTACTCTTTAGATACGGGAGGTATGTTTTCTTCAAAATCTTAGAGACGGGATCATTTTTTGATACGAACAGATATGCTTATATGTGTTTAGATACGGTTCAATATGGCACCCATCGCTGGGAAACACGTCTACCAACTAAAAATACGAATAGATACGGCGCCGTGTCTCCACTGCCAGGCCTACGCCGCTCAATTACCACGAAGAGGGAAGACAAAATACATGCCAGTCAGGACGACGACGCTGATGAGGAAGAGGAGGAGGAGGAGGAGGAGGAGGAAGTGAAGTGGGAAATCATGGACGGCGGGCGGGCCGAACGATCATGATGACGAAGAGGACGAAGCAAAAGAGCCATTTTCTTCAATCGGTGATCGACTTCGTCCTCGTCCTGGCTCCCCCTCCTCCACGTTCTTCTTCTGACGCTCCCTCCAACTTGGCCTCGCTCCTCTTGCCTCCTCGCCGCGCGTCCTCCTCCTCATCCTCCTCGTCCGCGCTCATCGTCCGAATTACTCCTCCTCCTCCTCCTTCTCCTCATCCTCCTCCTCCTCTT